TACAAGTCAGACAAAGGTCTAATCTCTAAAATCTACAAGAAAATCCAATACCTCTACAACAAAAAGACAAATAACCCAATTAAAAAATGGGAAAAGGAAACGAACAGACACTTGACTAAAGAAGACTTTCAAGCGGCCAACAGACACATGAGAAAATGCTCTCGATCACTAGCCATTAGAGAAATGCAAATTAAAACCACAGTGTGATACCATCTCACCCTGGCATTACTTGCAAGAATCAAAAACACTGGAAAGAACAAATGTACTAGAGGCTGCAGGGAGATTGGAACTCTTATGCACTGCTGGTGGAATTGCAAAATTATGCAATCATTTTGGAAAATGATATGGCGCTTCCTTAGAAAGCTAGAAATAGGAATACCATATGATCCAGCAATCCCACTCCTAGGAGTATATCCTAGAGAAATAAGAGCTGTCACACGAATAGACATATGCACACCCATATGCATTGCAGCACTGTTCACAATAGTAAAAAGTTGGAAATAATCTAGATGCCCATCAACAGAAGAATGGATAAACAAACTGATACATACACGCCATGAGTATTATTCAATGCTAAAGAACATTGATGAATCTGTGAAGCATCTCATAACATGGATGGAACTGGAGGACATTATGCTGAGTGAAATAAGTCAATCACAAAAGGACAAATATTGTATGAGACCTCTACTGTAAAAACTCATGTAAAAGTTAACACACAAAAAGAAACAATCTTTCTTGGTTACAAGGGATGGGAGAGGTGTGCAGGGGAACTAAATAGACAATAGATAAGTGGTAACTTTGGTGAAGGGTAAGACAGTACACAATAGTGGGGAAGCCAGCACAACTTGTACAGGGAAAGGTCATGGAAGCTCCATAGACACATCCAAACTCCCTGAGGGACTGAATTGCTGGGCGGAGGGCAGTGGGGTCCATGGTCTCAGGGAACATCTAGCTCAATTGGCATAACACAGTTTATAAAGGCAATGTTCCACATTCTTCCTTAATGAGTATCATCTGGGGTCTTAAAAGCCTGTGAGCAGCCATCTAAGATACTCCACTGGTCTCACCCTTTCGGGAGCAAGGGAGAATGAAGAGAACAGTATACCAGGAAAAGATTAGTCCAAAGGACTAATGTACCACAGCTACCAAGGCCTCCACCAGACTGAGTCTAGTACAGCTAGGTGGTGCCGAGCTACCACCACAGATTGCTCTGACTGGGATCACAATAGAGGGTCTTGGATAGAGCTGGAAAAGGATGTAGAACAAAATTCTAACTCACAAAAAAAAAAGACCAGATTTACTGGCTTGACAGACTGGAGAAACTTCGACAGTATGGCCCCAGGACACCCTTTTAGTTCAGTGGTTAAGTCACTCCTGAAGTTCACCGTTCAGCCAGGGATTGGACAGCCTCATAAAACAAAATGGAACTAATGAGGCACAACAGTCCAGGGAGAAGGACTAGTAGGCAGGAGGGAACAAAAAAGCTGGTGATAGGGAACCCAAGGTTGAGAAGGGACAGTGTTGACATGTCATGGGGTTGTTAAACATTGTCATAGGGCAATATGTGTACTAACTCTTTTATGGGAAACTATTTCTTCTGCAAACCTTCATCTAAGGTACAAAAATAAAAAGAATTATCTATGTGAGATCAAATTGACAACAGCCACTCAGAAGTTTTTATGGGAACTCTAGGGGGAAGTGAGTTGCAGATAATGTTGATAGAATAATTTGGAAAAGGATAGTGAGACTAGCAGCACAACTAGAAGAATGTAATCGATGTCACTGAATTTTACATGTAGAAACTTTTGAAATGGTGTACCTTTGGCTATGTATATTTTCACCAAAAAAAAAAAAGTGTCCTCCAAGTTCGAGAAGGGAGCTTGTTGACATGCTGTGGGGTTGTAAACCAATGTCATAAAACAATATGTGTACTGACTGTTTAATGAGAAACTATTTGTTCTGTAAACCTTCATCTAAATTATAATGAAAATATATATATAAAACAAACAAAATGTTCTTTTAAGTGGGCCATCTTGTGCTGTGTTCTTGTATGCCTTATAGTTTTTTGTTGAACTTGAGGCATTTGGATATATTATTGTGGTAATTCTGGAATTTGAATCTTCACTTTCCCCAGGAATTTTTTCCCTTTATTTCCTCCTTCTTCCCCTAAATTCCACTAGAGGGTGCTCTGGCTCTTTAGTTCTTCCAGCACTGAGTCTGCCATTCTGGGGACGTGTGCCCCTCCCTCCACTTCTGTGGCGGGACCTCAGGCACTTCTTTTGTTAATAAAAGGTTTTTATCTGATTCCACAGGTTTTAAGTGTTTTGGTAAGTTTTAAGTCTCTGGAGGCAGGCTCAGAGAATTACCCTATTGTTTATACCCATTAAGTTCCAATGAGTGTCTATTATTATGGAGCCTAGTTGTTGTTGTTAGGTGCCACTGAAGTCAGTTGCCTCATAGTGTCCCTATGTACAACAGAATGAAACACTATCCAGTCCTGCACCATACTCACAATCATTGCTGCAGTCACTGTGTCAATCCATCTTGCTGAGGGTCTCCCTCTTTTTCACTGACCCTCTACCAAGCATGATGTTTTTCTCCAGGGATGAGAGAAGCGAGGATGGAGAGACCTTCTCTTGTACTTTTGACATGTTATCAGGAGGGACCAGTCCCTGGAGAAGGACATCATGCGTGAAGCCTGGAGGCAAAGTAAATTATTCCCTTCCCCTCTTTTTCAGTCTTGTAGGATTGGAAGGGGGCTGGTTTCTCCCTATGTATCAATTTTCCTGGGTGCCCCAGAAAGATACTAAGACTTTGAAGAAGCAGACTGTCAGTAAAATTAAGTTCCTCTACAGCTCTCCCAGCCCTAGGGAGCCAGATCACCATTTGTATTTCACAGGGCGGCTCAACTCACCACTCATTTTGTTTGCAGCTCCCAGTTTACATGGGTACAGGTTGGGAGAGACTCTCATAAGCGATGGAGAGAAAAAAAATTCCTACCTGTAGTCTTGTTCCTTCTTCCGCCTTCAGCCAGTTACTTTATTTCTTGGATTGGTTGTTAGAGCTCCGAGTCCACAAGTTCCACCACATTGTTTGTGCTATTTTGTTTCTTTTTTTCTTGAATTGTGGAAGAATGGAGACGTTCTGCTACCTACATCACAATCTTTGGAGAGGAGGCTCTCCCCTGTTTTTTCTGATGTGGCAGTTGAGGTTCAAGAGGTAAAGTGACTTGCCTAAAGTCAAAAACCTTTCTGTTGCACATGCTCTGGTATTAGACCCTAGTTCAATAACTGGGCTTTCTATTTGAGTCTTATGACAAGAACCCATCTTTTCCCTTGGTTGCAAGACAGGGGAGATTCCTATCTTGATTTTTCATGACTGACGCTTTGCTTCATAATCCAAGTTTCTCTGTGACGAGCTTTGCTTTCTGCCAGTCATCCTACCCCTTAACTTCTCTTGCCTACCAAGATGGTTGTCTATAGTCTGTTATCACACTTCTTTGACACCATGCTCTGTCTATCTATATGTATTTATCAGATTGTTTCTTCCTGCAACCTTCTCCAATCTTTTCCCCTAATTTGTGGGTCACAGGGTGTGTGTGTGTATGTGATGTGAAGGCGAAGGGTTCAGATGTCAACATAATATAGTGGTTTCCTAAACTTTTTGCAACAAAGACCTCTTGCATAATTTTTCCGTATGTTCCCCATATGTTGAAACATTTTTTTGCCAAAAAGTATTTATTAATAATTCGTGGTTTCATATTTTAATGAAGGGCAGATTATATTAAAATTAAAGTAGCAAACATTATGAAATATCTACTAGGTGTCAGACACTATGTTAGGTACTGGTGAAAAATAAATGAAAACAATCCACTGCTCTAACTGCTTTTTTATCTTTTAAATATGGATTATATCGTAGAATCCTCACAATAAATTTATGTGATATAAAATTTTATTGATTAACCCCATTTTACGGATTATAAACTTGAATCTTAGAGATGTCTTATCCAGGATCACAGAGTTCAAAAGAGAGAAAGTTGGATTGTTTCTTGGGTTTGTCTGACCTTGGTGCCTTTGTCTGACCTTGGCACCACACTGCCTTCCCAGTCTTTGCTTACAGGGTAGTATGGCAGAAAGTACAGAGACTACAGTCAGGAGCCTTGGATTCTCGGGGCAGATATAGTATTAATATTACGGGACACCTTGAATAATTCATTTCCTGTCTGTATCTCAGTTTCATCTCAGTTCAATGAAGGCGTTGGGGCTAGATAGTCCAGGGTGTCTCTCACTGCTTCCAATATGAGACGGTGTAGTATGATGGAAGGATAGTGTTGTTGGGGTTCAGATAGATTTGAAGGTGAATCCCAGGACCCACCCCCCCAACAGACCCTCACATAAAAGCTGTATGTATGGTCTTGAGCCATGCCATTCAAGGGTTTGGTACAGTCTGTGCAGGTCTTCTGGTGCAAGAAGACTGTCATAGCCATGACACACTGCAGAGAGGACAACAGCTTTATCAAGGTGAAGGGATGGCCCTTGGAGATGATCGAGCTTCACACACTGCCGTGCGAGCTACTGGAACCTGTTCTGCTTCTGGACAAAGAGCAATTTGCTGCTGTGGACATCTGTGTCCTTGTGAAGAGTGGTGTCACTTGGCCCATTATTTATGCAATCTGCCAGTCTATCTCCAAAGCCTTGGTTGCATATTCCAAGAAATACGTGGATGAGTCTTCCACGAAGGAGATCAAAGACATCCTCATCCAGTATGACTAGACCTTGCTGGTAGCTGACTCTCATCACTTCGAATCCAAGAAGTTTGGAGGCCCTGGTGCCCACGGTCACTAGCAGCAATCCTATCAATAAGCCCACCACAAGGAGCAGGTTTCATCTTTATAATAAGCAAGGTTTGTAGGGGGGGAAAGCTGTATGGTCTTGAGCAGTTTATTTAATTGATTTAGTCTCATTCATTTATTTAAAATATAAATTTGACACCTATTTTGTGCTCAGGATAGTGATTTTCGCTGGAGTGAGACAGAGCACGTCCATGCCCTCATGGATTTCCTGACTTTAAAAAAAATTTATTTGAAAATAATTATAGATTCACAGGAAGTTACAAAGATAGTATACGTACCCAGTATATCCCAAAAATCACATCTTACATAACTATAGTACAATATCAACATCAGGAAACAGACATTGGTACAATGTGTATGTTTAGTTCTACATCATTTTATCACATGTGTAGTTTGTATAACCACCACTGCAATCAAGATACAAAAGTATTCCATCAACAGAAAGATCACCCTCATGCTACCCCATTACAGCTACACACTCCTGTCACGACTACCACCACCATCCCTAAATACCTGACAGTCACTAATCTGTCTGCCATCTGTATTATGTTATCATTTCAAGAATGTTATATAACTGAAATCATAAAGTATATGGTCTTTTGATATTGGTTGTTCTTAACTCAGCATAATGGATTGAGATTGATCCAAATTGTTACATATATCAATCAATAGTTAATTTCTTTCCATTGCTGAGTAATATTCCGTGGTACAGATGTACCACAGCTTGTTTAACCTTTCACCTATTGGGGAATATTTTGTTTTTTTCCAATTTTTGCCTATTACAATTAAAGCTGCAATTAATAATTGTAATCAAGTATCTGTGTGAACTAAGTTTCATTTTGGAGGGAGGGAAATGCCCAGAAATACGATTGCTGGGTTATATGGTAAGTGTGGGTGTACCTGGGTCTTGCAAAGGATTAACATGCTTGGCTGCTAACTGAAAGGTTGGAGATTCAAGTACAGCCAGGGGCACCTTGAAAGAAAGGCCTGGAGATCTACTTCTGAAATCAGCCATTGAAAACCCTACGGAGCACAGTTCTTCTCTGACACACACGGAGTCACCATGAGTTAGAATCAATTCTACAGCAACTAGACTGGTATGGTAAATGTGTAAATGTATGCTTAGTAATTTAAGAAACTGCCAAACTGTTTTCCAGGGTGGTTGTACCATTTCACATGCCCACCAACAATATATGAGAGATTTAGTTTATTTGCATCTTCATTATCATTTGGTATTATCACTATTTTTGTTACTTTAGCTGTTCGTATAAGTAGGTAGAGCTATCTCAATATGATTCTTCATTGGTATTTCCTTAATAGCTAGTGATGATGAACATCTTTTCACTTGTTAATTTGCCATCCTTATATCTTCTGGATATGCCTCTTCTTGTCTCATGCCTATGTTCTAATTGGATTGTTTATCTACTGTTGAATTTGAAGAGTTTTTTAAATATATTCCAGATACTAGTCCTCTGTCTGATAAGGGGTTTGCAAATATTTTCACCCAGTCTGTAGCTTATCTTTTCATTCTCTTCACAGAATCTTTCACAGAGTGAAAGTTTTTAATTTTGATGAAGTCCAATTTATCTATTTTTTCTTGTATGAACTGTACTTTTGATATCATCTCTAAGAAATTTTTACCATGTCCCAGATCCTGAAAAATTACTCCTATGTTTCTTTTTAAAGTTTTATAGTTTTACATTTAAAACTATTACCCATTTTGAGTTAAATTTGTATAATATATAAGGTTAAGTAAAGGTTTATTTATTTATTTTTACCTATGCTTGTCCAATTGCCCATCACCATTTGTTGAAAAGACTATCCTTCCTCCATTGATTTGCTTTTGCACTATTGTCAAAAGTCAGTTGAGCATATTTGTGTGGATTTATTTCTGAATTCTCTAGTCTATTTCCTGTACCTATGTGTCTATCCCTCCACTAATATCACAGTCTTGATTAAGAATTAACAATAATAATAATTAATAATAACTCTTGAAATCTGATAGAGTGATTTCTCCCTTTTTTTTTTAATTATTTTACCTTTCAAGTTTCTTCAAATTTCCATGTTAATATTAAAATAATCTTGTCAATATCTACAAAAACTCTTGCTGGAATTTGGATCTGGATTGCCTTAAATCTATGTATCAATTTAGGTACAATAGACATCTTAACTATGCTGATTCTTCCAATCTATGAACATAGTATGTCTCTCCATTTATTGAGATCTTCTTTGATATCTTTTATCTGCCTTTTGTCATTTTCAGAATTCAAATTTAGTACATGTTTTGTTAGATTTATACCTAATATTTTATTTTTCTTAGTGATTGTAAATTGTATTGGATTTTCAATTACAGTTTTCACATGTTTATTGTTGTTGTTGCTGTTGTTAAGTGCCGTCAATTCAGTTCTGACTCATAGTGACCCTACGTACCACAGAATGAAACACTGTCCTGTACTGCACCATCCTCACAATCTTTATGCTTGAGCCCATTGTTCAAGCCACTGCATCAAACCTTCTCTTTGAGGGTCTTCCTCTTTTTTCACTGATCCTCTACTTTATCAAGCATGATGTCCTTCTCCAGGGACTGATCCCTGCTGATAACATGTCCCAAGTATGTGAGACATACTCTCAACATCCTTGCTTCTAAGGAGCATTCTGGCTGTACTTTTTCCAAGACAGATTTGTTCTTTCTTCTGGCAGTCCATGGTGTATTCAATACTCTTCACCAACACAACAATTCGAAGGCTTCAATTCTTCTTCAGTCTTCCCTATTCTTTGTCCAGCTTTCACATGCATATGAGGGGATTGAAACACCATGGCTTGGGTCAGGTGCACCTTAGTCTTCAAGGTGACATCTTTGCTTTTTAACACTTTAAAGAGGTCTTTTGCAGCAGATTTGTCCAATGTAGTGCGTCGTTTGATTTCTTGACTGCTGCTTCCATGGGTGTTGATTGTAGATTCAAGTAAAATTAAATCCTTGACAACTTCAATCTTTTCTCCGTTTAACATGATGTTGTTTAGTAGTCCAGTTGTGAGGATTTTTGTTTTCTTTATGTTGAGGCGTAATCCATATTGCAGGCTGTGGTCTTAGGTCTTCAATAGTAAGTGCTTCAAGTCCTCTTCACTTTCCGCAAGTAAGGTTGTGTCATCTGCATAACGCAGGTTGTTAATGAATCTTCCTGCAATTCTGATGCCCCGTTCTTCTTCCTATAGTCCAGCTTCTCTGATTATTTGCTCAGCATACAGATTGAATAAGTATGGCGAAAGGCTACAACCCTGACACATACCCTTCCTGACTTTAAACCATGCGGTATCCTCTTGTTCTGTTCAAACGACTGCCTCTTGATCTGTGTGTAGGTTCTTCATGAACCCAATTAAGCGTTCTGGAATTCCCATTCTTCTTAATCTTATCCATAATTTGTTATGATCTACACAATAGAATGCCTTTGCATAGTCAATAAAACACAGGTAAACATATTTCTGGTATTCTCTGCTTTCAGCCAGGATCCATCTGATATCAGCAATGATATCCCTGGTTCCATGTCCTCTTTTGAATCTGGCTTGAATTTCTGGCAGTTCCCTGTGGATGTACTGCTGCAGCCACTTTTGGATGATCTTCAGCGAAATTTTACTTGTGTGTGAAACTAATGATATTGTTCGATAATTTCCGCATTTGTTTGGAACACCTTTCTTTGGAATAGGCATAAATATGGATCTCTTCCTGTTGGATGACCAGGTAGCTGTATCCCAAATTTCTTGGCATAGACAAGTAAGCACTTCTAGTGCTGCATCTGTTTGTTGAAACATCTCAGTTGGTATTCCGTCAGTTCCTAGAACCTTGTTTTTCGCCAATGAGTTCAGTGCAGCTTCAACGTCTTCCTTCAGTACCATTGGTTCCTGATCATATGTTACCTCCTGAAAAGTTTGAACATGGATCAATTCTTTTAGTCCAATTGATGGCCTATTCTGCAGTCAGTCCCTGGCCTTGTTCTGACTGTTGCTATTGAGCTTTTCCATTGTCTCTTTCCACAGACATAGTTGATTTGATTCCTATGTATTCCATCTGGCCGGGTCCACGTGTATAGTTGTCTTTTACGTTGTTGAAAAAAGATATTTGCAATGAAGAAGTCATTGATCTTGAGAAATTCTATCATGTGATCTCCAGCATCATTTTTATCACCAAGGCCATTTTTTCCCACCACTGTTCCCTCTTCTTTGTTTCCAACTTTCGCATTCCAATCACCAGTAATTATCAATGCATCTTGATTGCATATGTGATCAATTTCAGACTGTAGAAGTTGGTAAAAATCTTCAATTTCTTCATCTTTGGCTTTAGCGATTGGTAAGTAAACTTGAATAATAGTCATTAACTGGTCTTCATGGTAGTCGTATGGATATTATCCTATCACTTACACCGTTGTACTTCAGGATAGATCTTGAAATGTTATTTTTGACAATGAATGCAAATTCATTATTCTTCAATTTTTGTTCCTGGCTTAGTATACCATGTGATTGTCCAATCCAAAGTGGCCAATACTATTCCTTTCAGCTCAATGCTAGGATATCGATGTTTATGAATTCCATTTCAATTTTGAAGATTTTCAATTTTCCTGGATTCATACTTCGTACATTCCGATTATTACTGAATGTTTGCAGCGGTTTCTTCTCATTTTGAGTCGTGCCACATCAGCAAATGAAGGTCCCAAAAGCTTGACTCTATCCACATCATTAAGGTCATCTCTACTTTGAAGAGGCAGCTCTTCCCCAGTCATATTTTGAGTGCCTTCCAACCTGAGGGGCTCATCTTCTGGCACTATATCAGACAATGTTCCGCTGTTAGTCATAAGGTTTTCGTTGGCTAATTTTTTCAGAAGTAGACCCCCAGGTCCAAATTGGGGTAGTCCCTTTTATTCCTAACTTTCTGAGAGTTTTTATTTTGAATGGGTGTTGAATATTGTCAAATGCATTTTCTACATCTATTGATATGACCATGTGATTTTTTTTTTCTTA